TAAAGCCGTTTTGGAGTAAGTTGAGAGGAGGGGATATTTAAGCTAGCCCCGAGAGCTGGCTCTTTCGAATGGTAAAAAGGGGTAAACCTTTAGAATACAATGCGCTTCGCAGTTAACCCTTTCGGATACAGTCGACTGAGAAATCTATGGTACCATCGAAAGCGTAAAATGTGCCCACGTTGGGACGACCTAAAAATGTCTATAATAATACAAAAATAATATCAGGAATTCCTTGAGGCTTGCTAGTGATTTTTCCAAAATTTTCCTACATGTTTCTAAGATGAACTGAGCTGTAGTGTGATCAGTTATTTTCTAGAGATTCTCGGTACAACAAACTATAAGTTAATACCCCCAAAATACCGGCATGATACTCCTTTTAAGTGAGAGCAGACCAAGACACAGAAATTCGTTCTTCGTATTTATTTTATATAGTATCTATGTTTTTTTTGCAATTCTACATTGGGTGGGAAAGACAGCTGATACTTTGTGGGGGTTTCACCATTTCGATGGTAACTTATCCGAGAGCGGCAATCTCCAAGCACATAGTGACAGATCTCAGATTTCTGCTTATATAAGTCAGGATTACCCGGTTGTTACTTATGATTTGTATATATTTACCTTTCTTTGTTCCCTCCTTCTGCATCCCATCAGATCCTAACCCTCGTGCGGACGCAAACACTTCCTACTTCACCCCAGGTGTAAACACCCCTTCCCTTTCCGTTAGAGCATGCCCCCCCCCCCAATTCCCAGTCAGAGAAACAGCATTGACATACCAATAAGCAATCAAACATGCCGACTATCGATCGCTCCGGATGGCGTAATACTTTTATCTACACTTCCGACAACCGTGGTACTATAATCGGAGGTCTCTGGGCCTCAGAAGGTATCACTAATGCTAATTTCTATTCCATGATCGGGATTTTCTGTTCGTTTAGCGATACTTTTGATCTTCACAACGAGAGTGAACGATTGGTTGAGAGGGATTCGCAACAGCTTCAGCCAGGCAATTACTATATTGTCACTGATGGTGAGTTTTTTCTGAGCTTCGATCATTGGCCACCGCTCACTCAGGACAGGTTCCATCACTATCACCGATGAAGTCCCACTAACCCACACGATTTCAGTGATGTCCGGAACCCGTGTTGAATCATTCCGCGATGCTGTGCGCGATCGAGACCAGGGATGTGTAATAACCAGCACGAGGGCACCGCTAGCTCATTTTGGCAACTGGAGATGCTTCGAAGCCAGTCATATTTTTCCTTTGGCATATGAACAGCACTGGAATCAGTGCAACTACGGTCGTTGGATCACCGTTCCGCCCGCAAATGAGTCCGACGGATCCATCAACTCACTACAGAATGGGATTTTACTCCGGAGCGATATGCGTGATTATTTTGACAATTATGATTTGACTATCAAGCCTGATGTATGAATAGCTAGACCTTCAACTCTTCACGGCTAACAATTGTGTAGGATAACTACAAGATTGTATGCTTTGCACCTCTTCCTTTTGCCGAAAACATCGCTGGCCAGCCTCTTAATCAGATGTTCCTGGATAATCCTCTTCGACCTGTTGACGAGCTGCTACGCTGGCACTTTCGCCAAGCAGTGCTTGTTAATATGAAGGGTCAGGGTGAGCCTTGTTTCGAGACTGATTTCCCACCTGGTTCAGACATCATGGGTGACGTCATGAATGGTCCAAAATGTCAATAGAGAATGGAGTTTGAGCTTTTTAGCCATTTCAACGCAAAGAGGGATCCTGAGGCACTGGTAGGCTGCCAGACGGTATGTGCCTAGGACATGACCACGTCTTACGCAACAATCTTTAGCACCAATCATTGTTCACTCATAAATTTCTTCAAAAAATCCTGTGAGCTTTGGGGTTTCATGTTAAACGATGCCGGAAATTGGTACCCTTCCAAATAGGTAATTACAGTTGTCCCGTTCAACCGCGATCGATCGTAGATGGAGTGTTGTTTTGAGCCTTCAAAACAGAGCGACACTCATTAAAGGTGATTCATAAGTTAAGGTCCTTTATTGTGAAACCCGAGCAAACTTCCTTAACCAATGCTGTGACTTAAGGGTTGTTTAGCACGCCAGCATTTGTAAGGCAATACGGTGTAAAAGGCAGTTTATAGGGTGAACAGTGTTTGGCAACACGATATTTGAAAGGCAGAATTTGCAAACCTTATAAAATGCAATCTGAAAACATAGTAATCTCCTTAAGGCTTAAGAAATTTTATGAAAGGGTTGTGACTGTGCGATCATGTACTGTACAGTATGTTTACTTGCAGGGACAGTAAGGGCCCGAAAACTAGTTCTGCACATTCTATGGTTCCGGAAGTCTAGACTCGATCCCAATTTTCAGACAAAAAGTGTGACAATATTATTGTTGTAATGCCAAGCGTAACACCCACAAAGCACCATTACCCTTATTCCTAAAATATGAAACTCTAGCTTGTAGATATACAAACTGCAACAATTCGAATAATATAAGAGATCTGTATAAGATCATGAATGACAGTTAGACCATTGACATGATAGAATTGAAAGACAAATTAAATGTATTTTAGTAACATGATTGAATTTAAAGTTTTATTCTCAAAGCTTAAACCTACTCTAAATATGGAAGGGAGGATATTCTAGGAGGTTGAATCAATTGATTAATTAATTATTACAGTTCTCAATAGTAATTACAAAATCATTTTATCTTCTAAGTTTACAAGCTAGGGTTTGGTATTTTAGGTATAAGGTAATGGTGCTCTGTGGGTGTTATGCTCGGCGTTACAACAATATTGTCACACCTTGTCTGAAAATTGGGATAGAGTCTAGCCTTCCGGAACCATACACAAATATCTATCAGGGGCATGGGATTATGATTTGCGATTTTTGGTTAGCCAGCATGATTCCGGCACTAAAACCCTCAAATGCACCGCATGGAGGATACTATAATAACAATATTATTATAAAATTATATGGGAAATGTTCCGCTGACCTGGCATGATACATACGAGTAGGTTGAGCCTCTAGGCGCGCTGCGAGATTCGGAAATGTTCATGCGCGGGAATCCTTATGCACTTGGCGAGTTATACACCGGCGACTTCGCGACAGGAGGAAGAGGGAGAAAAAAAGGAGGATTGTCGGAGACTGCGGTGTTTGTCGGGACTGTGAGGGGAGGGTGGGGATGGAAATCTCTCTGGCACCAACCGTCGCATAGATCCGCACACCATTTTCGATATCGCATCGGATTCTGGCTAGAGACGGGCATCAAGGTTTAGGACTTGGGGCAGCACACATGGCGCCCCATCCGGAAGGAGCAGGAGTGATAGACGAAATGTTGTATGTAGAAGGGACTGGGCTCATGGCAGTCAAGGGTAAAAGCGATGTTAGACTGGTGGAATAACCAACAAATGTACACCAGGAAACCGGATTACTATCGCTAGGGCGGTCTGAAACAATTAAATTGGCAGCCAGGCAAAATCAAAATAAGTCAGTCAGTAGCTAGCTAATTATTTCCAGTTATAGACACCACTGCAGAGGAGACTTGCTAGGAACCCCGACTCACTACCTCGCAACGACTTAACCTGCTAGAAAAAGTGAGATTTGTGATTGGAAACCTACTATACATACTTTTTTCTTTGACTAAATCTCTAATGACTTAGACTGTAGCTTCCGGGCACCAGGAAATGAGATCAATGCAAAAGTGGGTCTTAGCCATCCTGTTTGCTATAGTAAGTTCCACCCAATATTTCCATACATATATACACGTGTGTATTAACTATTCCGCTATTTCGGGTCTAAGTTCTGGCTCGACAGTCCCGTTGAGACCGAGATTGGGAACCAAGCTGAAGCGGGAGATAGTAGGCTGGAAAGAAAGATGGACGAGCTCGAGAGGAGGATTAAGGGGGAGGGAGATGAAGGAGCTTGAGGAACGGGTGAAGGAGCATATCGTACTTCGTTGAACCAGCTCCGCCTGGAGATCAGTAATGATCGGTTAATGAAGGAGCTCAGTAAGAAGTAACTTGTTTTATTCTGTTATCCTGGTTTTCACTAACGCTGGGGGTCGTTCGATACTGGATAATGCTGAAGATCTGCGATTAGCTCCTTTGGGAACCAATATGGCCTGTTTTTTGTTTTCTTTAATTGTTAATAAATTAACAACTGATACGTTCTTAAAACCCGAGATGATTAGGACTGATAGAGGCTACTCGATAGCTCAACCTCACAATGTCAGCCAAAGTTCTGGTCAGTGCTTAAACCTATGAAAGCGATTTTGCCACCTTATCATACTCAGACATCAGGATGCAATCCTTCAGCTTAAGCCTGGCAACGCTAATGGTGATTGTGGAGGTGGTGGAGGTGGAAGTGGCCGAGGTGGCATCCCTAGTGTGCTGTCCAGACCACTGAACAGCTCTGGTCATACCTATATCCGAACAGCCGCATCCTGTTGGCCATCGAAATAGGCATGCCAATCGGCTTTGAGGCTGTCGCCTATCCCGCTCCAATATCCTAGAGGACTGCACCAAGGACGTTGACAAAGCTTTCCAATCCCCTCGACCAAGAATGCTAGTGGCTTCGCCCACCCCTCTATCGAAAAGGAGCCCGGCACTACAATCACCCCATGTACAAACCAAGAACAATGTCCTTGTTCCCTTCTGGCCCTACAGACGGTACCGGCCGCAAAGACTACTGCCACTTCTTACAGTACATTGAGTGCCCCGGCTATCTCCAGAGACTCATGAATGAGTTATTCAAAAAAAAGAAAAAAGAAAAAAAAGACAACGAAGATCCCCATTACCCATATGTCGCCTTCCATCGTGGTATCGACGACTGCGCCGACACAAAGAACTCAGATTTATCCAACGATAGATGGCTTTGGCAAAGCCCCCTTCGAGGGCGAACCCGATATGCCAATTCAGAGCCTGTGCGCAATGCAACAACTCTGCAGTTACAGTTAGACCCTTCCGCGCATCATATTCCCATCTATCAAATGCGACTCACACGTTATACTCGACTTATGCACTCCGAGGGGCTCCATCGAATGCTAGACTATTCTCCAGAGCCTTAGAAGATTGGAGTACAGAGAAGCAAGGAAGAGCGGATGGGGTGATCTCTGGGTGCTTGGAACGAAAGCTCGCACAAGTCGAAACATAAAGATTGGTGGCGGCAGCAGGAAGACAATGTCAAAGTTTGTCGCAATCAAGGACCCCCACGGTGATAGGGTGAGGGCTATTGTCAAGGATAAGACGACCACCTTCCTGAAGGCGAGGAAGAAGCAGGCGAAGGAGGTAAAGAAGGCGACAGGGATTCAGAGGAAGCAGGATGCTAGGGAGAGTCATCCGGAAATAGTTAGGGCGCACAAGGAGAAGAAGGAAAGGGGCTGTAGGAGGAGGCAATGGCCGGGAAGGGGACTGGGGAGATGCTCGAAGAAATGATTAGGATGCGTAGAGATAGGAGGGGAATGATGCAACTAGGGGTGCAAATACGGAGAAAGGAGTAGGAGGCGATGAAAAGGGGGGGGGGGTGCAATCGCAGTTTTGTGCTCGCAATGTAGCTATATCTCCATATCTAGAGGGTAGGGCGCCAGTGGGTGGGGTGTATATATGGGGCTTCTCAATTTTTGTAAATTATTCACCTAGCTCCAAAAAGTGTTAACAGCAGTAGCTACTGGTATCATTCGAAAAAGTCGAGTGATTGTTGGTGAAAAGGTACCACCAACCCCATGGCTCCCAAATCCACTAACCTCTTCCATCACCCACCCAGCTGTTGTGAAAACCGAGGGACATATACTGGCCCATTGGTGCTCCGGAGGAGTGTGCGGGCAAGTTCTGTCAACGGTGGGGCCGTCTGGAGATGGTAGCTTTGGCAATAATATACTAGATGTTAGAATATTGTCATTGGGTTCTCTCGTTTGGAGTACCCTATATTATTATTAAATTTGATAGGTTCTCCATATGTTCCTAGGCTCGGCCAGCAGGAGCCCACAGTTGTCCACCCGGCCGGAGCGGATGCAGTGTCTTTGCGATACATGGCTCAGAATACAGGTGTTTGTCGAGTGATGTTTTGTGATTTTGATGAATATAGTTATCAAGGAAAGGGAGGAATGGCGCTGGTAATAGATACTGTTCCCTCCCATAGGGCATCCGAATCCATTGCTGGATGGGCCTGAAGAGCGGAGACTATCCCTCAGCCGCCGAACGCTTTCCCCGGCCTCAAATATTATTCTACGTAAGTTACTTGTTCAAGAGAATGAGTAATCTGCTTTTTCTGCTTTGCTGAAGCCATGATACTGGACTGGAGTTCTTGGATGGTTCTTTTCATACATTATCTTGCATTCTTGTATGATAAGACATAATTGACACTTTTCACAATACAAATTAATCCCTTAACCCTACTTATCATTTTAGGGTTGTGATTACAAGATATCACTCATTCTCAAATCTACATTATCTTGGCATGTTTTTGCTCCGGCCAAGTGCTTGGGTACCATCCAAAATACTTGATGTTCAAACCTGAATATCTAGTTCAGGAAATATTTTTTTGTAATTTCCTCTGGTAGATATGTTTATTCTATACTAATTAAGCTAACTACCAGACAGAATTCCAATATCTCTACAGACAACTGTGTTGTGGTTGATTGTATTGTGGGATGTTTTGTCATTAAGGTGGGCTGGTTTTGGTTGTCCGGCACCATAGAGTAGAGAATTTATAGAAACAATGTTAGTCAGGGTTTGTGTTTTAGGGTTTAGAATTTTAGGGCATGTATGTATCTTCTTGTATTGTATGAATAATTTGTCAAATAATATACAGTATAATATTATAATATACGTATTTTTGATTACCCTACGCGTAATAAGGTGGTTAAGTCCTCCGCATGCCGGTGGTACCGGTATGTAGCTATTTACCACAATGACGGATACCGGTATCGATAGTCTCAAGATAACACGCAATTCACTTTGGAGAATGGGTTGCTAGAGTCCGTTGATAATTCCTTACGGCAGACCCAATGCAGAATCCCCCCAAAAAGCAATACGAAATGGTAAAAAGCTTAAAAGTAGTTTTCTATTCGAGAACTATCTGAACCCCCTTTGGATCTAGAAGAGTATTTAGATCAACTGAGTGAAAGCCCTGTTGATAGGGCTTCTGATAGGTTTAACCTCCTTCCAGAAGCCAACCGTAGCGACAGCACGCTTGGAGATCCCCGCGGGCGTGAACTCAAACTTCTCGTAGACCTTTACCCCATGTCAGCTGTTGCAACCCCGAAACAACTTGAATGCCCGCAGGCACATACCTGCTTATAAGGACCGGAAGCACCAAATCGATTTAGTCCAAATTGCTCATGCGAAAACTTCTCCCAACCCAATGTGCTCATAACCTCGACCGACAGAACTGGGATGCCATCCGGGATGACGGATAATCTGTACCCCTTGTCTTGAGCGTCAAAAACTTCCCAGCAGGGAAGCGAAACTACTCTTGCGGTAAGGTTGTGGTTATCCTTGAGGTATTTGACAGTGTCAACACAGATGCCCACTTCACTACCGGTAGAGATAAGGGTAACGTCGGCATTCTCTGCCTCAACAACAACATATCCACCCTTGATAGCTCGCTCGATAGTGGAGTTCTGAAGCTGTGGAAGGTTTTGTCTGCTAAGAGCGATAATGCTTGGTGTTTGCTTCGAGGTAAGGGCCACATAGTAGGCAGCGGAAACCTCATTCCCATCTGCAGGGCTTGGGGACCGTTAGCCTCTGCTGTGAGGGAGAAATCGTAAGGAATTGTGAAAACATACCGCCAGACCATGCAATTAGGTAGAGCACGGAAGTGAGCCAATGTCTCGATAGGCTGATGGGTAGGTCCATCTTCACCAAGGCCGATGCTATAGAAGTTCGGTTTATTGCGCATGGCTAAAAACAGAGTGCTCGGGGCTATACGTACGAATCGTGGGTTGCAACGTGGATGCACCGGACATGGCTCAAAGCACTTAGTCTTACGGAGCCAGCAGCGTAGGACACAAAGTTCAAGAAGGTTCCACCGAAAGGGATAATAGTGCCATATGCAGCAAGGCCATTCATGATACCAGCCATGGCATGCTCACGTACACCGTATCTAATATAACGACCGCCATATTCCCCAAGCCCAGTTGAGGGAGGCTGGAAGTCAATTGCTTCCTTTGCCCTGGTGAGATTGGACCCGGTCAAGTCGGCGGAGCCACCAACAAGCTCCGGAATAATGGGGTATAATTTAGAGAGAACAGTCTCCGAAAGTTTCCGAGAGGCAACAGCAGCGTCAGTGGGTTTATATCTAGTAAAAACCCCTATTAGCACACAGCCGCATTATACTTGGAGCAAAAGGAGAGGGGCTGTACGTTGGCAAATTCTTCTCCCAGCCTTCGGGTAGTCTTCCATCAAGTCTTCTTGCGAAATCCTCTGCTTCTTTGGGATATTCGCTTCTGTACTTGGCAAACAGCTGCTTCCATTCCTGTTCAGCAGCAGCTCCCTTAGAAGCTGTTTCTCCATAAGCCTCATAAACCTTGGAAGGAACGTCGAAGCTCTTCTCAGGATCAAATCCGAACTTAGTCTTAACACCCTTGGCATCGTCAGCCTTAAGAGGGTTTCCGTGAACACCTCCGGTTCCCGCGAGCTTGGAGCCGAAGCCGATGGTAGTAGTAAGCTTGATAACAGATGGCTTGTTGGTCACAGCCTTGGCCTTGGCAATGGCCTTCTCAATTCCCTCGAGATCGTGGTCTCCGTCTTCGACATGAAGAGTGTGCCATCCATAAGCCTCGAATCTCTTCAGGACATCCTCAGTGAAAGCACAATTGGTGTCACCATCCTGTAAACCATTAGTAAGGCCATTCCACAACTTTGCCACTAAAATGTCTTACAATCGAGATATGATTGTCATCATAGATAGCAATAAGGTTACCCAATTGCAAATGGCCAGCAGTCGAAGCCGCCTCGGAAGAAATACCCTCCATAGCACACCCATCGCCAAAGTACAGGTATGTGTAATTGTCAACAAGGTTATATCCGGGCTTATTGAAGACGGCAGCAGTGTGGGCTTGAGCAATGGCGAGACCGACAGCATTGGAGAAACCCTGGCCGAGAGGACCGGTGGTAACTTCGACACCGGGGGTATCAGCTGCCTCGGGGTGGCCAGGTGTCCTAGACCCAATTTGCTACGACACAGTTAGCAACACATATCAGATGTCGTAGAAATAGGCAGCAGCGTGCTCAAATAGGCGAAATCAGAAGATTCCCCCATATGGAGGGCCCCTCTCGGCTCTTATATCCCGGCGCAAACACCACTCGGTAGGTAATGCAGTATTTATTAACTTACACGGAAAGCCTTCAAGTCGTCAATGCTGAGATCGTAGCCAAAAAGGTGCAACAAAGCATATTGAAGCATGCAACCGTGGCCATTACTGCAAAGGTTAGTTCGGTGGTTGTCTATGCCGCCATTTCAAACTTGTGCCGTATGGGCAAAGGGCTCGGACAAACTTACGACAGAACAAATCGGTCCCGATTGACCCATGAGGGGTTCTTAGGATTGAACTTCATGAACCTTTAGATATCCATCGTATCAGAAATTCAGCACCAAGGAAGCATCAGTAGCATGTTGAGAATCCCACTTGTTAAAAAGAACATGAGAAACCGGTGCCATTCCCATGGGCGCACCAGGGTGGCCGGAGTTTGCTGCGGAAGTAGCATCGATCTAGAAACAAAGGAGTTCAGCCTTGTTCACCGAGGCGTGGGGAAGGAGACGAGAGGAAATAGCTGTTAAGCCGCAAAAAAATTAACATACCGCTAAAATACGGATGGTGTTGATAGCCAATTGGTCGATTTCGCCGTAAGTCATGATGAACGAATCGGTATCTGAGATAAGATTGGTGTTCGTTTCGACTTCGTTCCCACGAATGTCTGAGTAGGGAGAAAGGGGGGAGAGAGGGGGGGGTTGGGTGTCGGATATGAGGGGGAAAGAAGTAGAGGGGTAAAGAGGAAAGGAGGGGTGGTATCATAGTGGCGGGGAGAGTAGGGTTTTTTTTTCCAATTGTGGTCGCAGGCTTTACGTCAGTTTCGTTGCGGTCCGCTCGATGTTTTTTACGGTGCGCTTTGTAATCGGATTTGTCCTCTTGATAAGAGATCTAAGCCCGATTACTTTTCTCGCCGAATTTACTCGAGTATCACAAGGTGGGAAAGACTGCCTAAGTTCCCGCCGACTAAAGGTGAAATACTCGTATCATAACAGGTATATCACAGCCGGGGCGGGCTGGGGACAGTGAAAGAGGGGTTGTACACGGGATTCGTTATCGTGATACCTGTACCAAGAGTATGTTTGATGCAGTGCTGAGGGCTTACAAACATAGGTATGATAATACTTCTGGGACTTGGAAGCGAGATTCTGCTCCATCGTGCACACCGCGATGCCAGAGGGACGGCAAGGAGGATGAAGGGTAACTTGTGGGTTAGAAATGGATTTTTTTTTTTTTGTCGTTCGAACTGCCGAAAAAGCTCAGGTGCAATAACCTGATGCAGAGACAGCGTAGCATTGCCATTGTAGGAGGGTTAACATCTAAAAGCGGCTAGCCCCACCGATGGAAATATCGGACCTTCCTCCATGTTACGCAACAGGCCTGATTTTCGTCGTCTTAATCCCTTGCCTGGGATTGGGCTGCTACAAACCGAGGAACACCAAATACACAGGACTGGCCCAATCTTATCAATCCTACCTGCAGGGCAAACAATAGGGACTGTGTATTTGGGTATCCCACGGCCGTGCTGGTACTTCCTATCCTCACTCTGCCCAATTGTCTAACCGTGGAATCCTTCAGCAGGACCCGAAAGGAGTATATCGGTATGATACACGTTTCTCTTGGCACAAATGTCCAGTACGAGCAAAAATGTGCGCGATGAGCGGGATCCCGCTGTGAAATGTAACAATCTTCAATATGGTTTAATCCATGATTAGGACGCCCCCGTGGAAAGCAGACACCGTTCACCACCACCCCGGAGCTCTCCCGAAGGAACCATGTTGTTGCACATACTGTATCCCACCCCTCATCGCGTCTCCCCCTCCCTCTACTCGAGTATTACCCCTCCCCCACCTCAAGAATGGTGCAATACCAATATCAGCATGCGAGGCGACCGTTGTTGGTGTTGAAAAAGGTTAACCTATCGGCCATTCAACCGCCCCATTCCGCGAGTTTAAGATGGAATTCCGAGCAGTTATTCTCCGGCTAAAAGTGGAACTGGCGGTCAAGGATATCTGTCAGGCAGCTGTACGGTACCCTATTTACCTGTAGAAGCGCTGCGATAGTGCATCGCCATATTATGCCAGGTGGGACTTTGTGATGAGGGACGCATGCCCTCCCCCGCTCATCCATGTCTCAATCGCTTGGGTTTTGGGGATCCCCGGTTTTGGTGCCTCCATGCCCTGGTATCGTACGAGTAGTTTGAACATGGAGGACTATCATCTGCCAAGCTAATCTTTTCCTGGCTTTACAATAGGAGCGCTGTACTGGTATTGCAGTAGTGTGCCACTCGGCGCTTGGGATATCGCGCATGTTTGCTCGCACCGCGTTCTCCGTCTCAGTGCTTAGCAGATCTGATCAACAAGGTATCGCGAGGCAGGCACGATCCGCGGAAAGAGGACATCCGCCTCGAGCATGTCCGCGCTGTTACCGTGCTCGTATGGCATCTCGACACTGGCACTTGGGATATTGCACCAGGTTCGCATCCGCGCATGCTTTACCTTATAGTAACGCAGAACCCCCCTCAATTCCGCACCGATAGCATATCCGGGACCAGCCAACGGAACTTTCGCCCATTCCCGGGAATTGGTTGGCTCCGAAGGTTTTTTGTGGTGTCGTAAAAACCCCTAGAACCACCACCAGGTTTCTAGCGGAAATTAGCCCGTTAGCACGATGGATTTGGTTCGGTTGGCTAACAAAATCGCAAAAGCGAGTTACGGTAAGAACTCGAATAATCGGACCCTGTGCGAGGACGTTGGAGTTGCCTCTCCAAGTAAGGTCTGGTGTTTCTTTTCTTTTCTTTTTTTCTTTCATTGTCTCGGAATCCAGGCTTCTGGTAGTCTATGTTTTTATTCCCTTTCCGGAGGAGGAAATTTTGGACTACTGTACCTAGCACATGCTGCCTATCCGGGCTCTCATGGTATTGCGATCCAAGACGTCAAGTGGGCTGATCTTATACCGTGTCAGGATAATGCAAATCCTTCTCAGGAGCTTTTGTCTCTCAATTCGGAGGTTATAGTGCTAGCGGAGATGGTGGATTTCAAGAGTTTTTACGGTACTAGGTACACTGCCATCGGTGCTTCATGACCCACGGAGTATGTGCGGATATCATCCTGCCTAACACCTTATCCGGGCCAAGGCTCATGGTGTTTTCGCGCCATCACACCTCCATTGGACACCAGAGACTAGCACGGATGATATTGTGATGGCCCGGCCACATTTTGATGATTCTCTTGCAAAGGCGGCGTTTTTCCGGTCCTTCGTACCCCTGGTCGGGAGCATGGCTCCGGCGATCGGGCTCAAGACTGCACCGCGAACATAAACGCTCTAGCCCGTGACTTGGCTTTTCATAAAGTTCGCCATACGTTTGCTGCTTGTAGATAGCAATCCACCACATATGACAGTCCGCCGTGGGACCCTGGGATCGTGCGACATAACCAACCTACTGCGCTCTTGTCGGGGGGGGCATAATTTTGTTCAATATCCGGATCCCACATCTACCCTAAGCCCGTAGGAACAGGTTTGCGGTGTAATTCAGAGAGAGGTATGATAGTCTAGTTCTAGCAATATATACCTGGAGGCGTTCGAAGAAACCCGGCAACACCGTAGTTGGTCTGCGGTTGTGCGCCAATAGGTGAGGTAGGGTCTACTGATTTCGAGAAATCTTGTCCGAAGTCCTTCAAGCACATCTTAGTATTATATGATACGGTAGTGCTGCACTTGGGAGGGCTCTAATACGTCCAATACTCAGACCTCTGGGCAGATCGTGGACCTAAGAGGCACTATCATCATAAATCAACGCTGTCCTTCCGAGCCTCTACCATACTCTGGAGGGCTATTGGTGAATCCGAGACAACCATAAAACCCTCCGTTGCTCACGATCAACCGTACCCCACATCAGGACAAGCGATGCATTACACCACACCGCCAGCCAAAAGTGGGTTCTAAAATGCACCTTGAGGGCCATGCGAGTTTCCCTTTTCCGATCCATGGATGCCCCGAAATGATCTTCACTCGACTCTGCATCAAATGCCAGGAGCAAAATTGCAGGTTTTGCCTTACAAACGAGACCCTTAACAGAAACCCTGTGGTTCGTTCATTGAATAATATGATAGGTGCTTGGTGAACAGCACTTGCTATAATATTATTATCATAATATCATAGGTGCTATTAAGCACTCGTGAAGCTTAGTCATTCGGAGGGTCGGGGGTAAGAGAAGAGGTATCATAGGGAAGGTCAATCATGCTTGGCTTCTTATGAAGTATTCGGACGCCCGGGCATTATTAGTGTATGTCTTGGCGCCAGGTGTCTGAATACTTTGTGGTGGCCAAGCAATTTCAGCTCCAATGCCTCTCAGCCCTTAAATTACTCGCCGCATACCAGACACCGGCGCAGCCACAATCTTCAAGTTTGAAAATTGTTCCGTTGACACCCCCTCGCTTCCCCTATTGATCCAGTTACCGCCCTTCCTTCATTGTACAATACATCGTGGCATTGGTACTCTTTCTTCGCCATCTCTGTCTGTACACACCCTTCTTCCCGCTTCGCAGGACGGCTGCACGCCCCTGATTTTTCTCACCGCCACCCTTATCCCTATTTTTAGGGGTTCTCATCTTCTTTCAAGATTCTTAATAGAGGTACGATCTGTGTGCTCTTTTCCGAGTTTTTGGGCCACGTTGTACTCCCCGGGAACAACCCCCCTCATTCTTGACCTCAACTGATTGTATTCGCTGATCGCAGTTCTTACACACATACCAAACTAAACTATGGCTCGACCTCTCCGCCGCTCGAGTCCCATAACCTTAATACTAGCCCTGGTACTTTTCCTCGGCTTTATAATTTTTATCCTTTCACCATCAAATCCCGTGCCATCAATTCCAAAGAGCAAGATTGCTTCATCGTCATCTACACGAACATCGCCGAACTCGCCACCTCCAGTTGTCCACTACTACCTTAACAACCTTACTACCTCTTCTGACCCTGTTGGTAACCGTGAAAGGGTTTTAGTTTTAACCCCTGTGGCCAGGTTTTATGACGAGTATTGGCAAAATCTTTTGAAGCTTAGCTATCCTCGCGACTTGATCGAGCTCGGATTTATCGTTCCCAAGACCCGCGAGGGTAACACGGCATTGGCAAAATTGGAGGATGCCGTTCGCCGTGTACAAACCGGGTCGAAGAAACACAGATTTTTGGGGGTGACTATTATTCGGCAAGATTTCGACACACCGGTGCCCCAGAATGAGAAGGAGCGGCATGCGCTTTCTGCCCAAAAGGAACGAAGAGAGGCCATGTCTCGTGCTAGGAATTCCTTGCTGTACACCACTTTGGGAACGGAGACAGCTTGGGTCTTGTGGCTGGACGCAGATATTATTGAAACCCCGCATACCCTAATTCAGGACCTTGCATCACACGATAAGGCCGTAATTGTTCCCAACTGCTATCAAAGGTACACCGATAAGGGCAAGGAGAAGACTCGTCCCTACGATTTCAACTCATGGCACGATTCGGAGACTGCCCTTGCGATGGCCCGGAAAATGGGTTCGGACGAGATTATTCTCGAAGGTTATCATGAGATGGCGACTTACAGGTCTCTGATGGCATACGAAATGACAGAGGGAGGGGATCCGCATCTGGAGACCGAGCTCGATGGTGTTGGCGGAACAGCACTGCTGGTGAAGGCGGAGGTACACCGTGATGGTGCTATGTTTCCTCCATTCCCATTCTACAACCTTATTGAGACCGAGGGCTTTGCAAAGATGGCAAGAAGACTCGGCCATCAGCCTTACGGATTGCCAAACTACCTGGTAGGTTCTTCATATACCTACTGCACCTACGAGTACGATTTTAATTGAACTAGGTTTACCATTATAATGAATAATTGGCGCAATTGACCACATTTTCTTCCCCCCGTCCGATCCATGGGCGCTAATGTGTTACTCGGCCGGTTTTTGAGTGTATACCCTTATGTTCGTTCATTCTTATTTTTCATCTTATTTACGCTAGTTACCTCGCCGCCGCCCCCGAAAGAAATCCGTTCCCGCTGGCTTCACTAGACAACTAACGTGTTTTTTTCCTGGAATCCTTTTTTCTTGTCCCGTTGCGGTATCTGTTTTGGGGCTATATATGACGTTCCGTGTGAATAGAGGTTTTTTGCTTTTGTTTTTTTGCTGTTTCCGCTTTTCTGCTGTTCTGCTTCAAAAGGGAGGGGCAGATGGGTCGTTCTTGGATGAAAGCATGGAGTTACGTCTTTACCGCACATTACCGTATTCAATTCCGTGCTTTAGCTTGTCGATTCTACTCTAGTGGTTCTATAATTGTGTATTTGATCATCTAATATCTTGTAGAGATACCCTCCAAAGGGAAGCCCGGGCGGAAAACATTGGTACTCTAGCACCTAGAATGCCGGCTGTACCAATGGGGTACTTGGATATCCTCACGACGGCGAGTGCCCATTTCTACTAGCGAGGCGGTGCTGGATATTAGCGGTTGTGATGGAGGGTACAAATTATAGAAAGCCCCTTGCACCCCCTAGTCAAACTATACCGCAATCGGCCAAGCCTCTACAAAGTAGTTCAAAAAGGTCGGGTCCGAGGACCCTGGAGAGAACTTTTAAAAAGGCTGTTCCGCGATACGGCTTCACTTAAAACCCGGCGCCCTCAAAGAGGGATTATGGAGATTCACCCGGCGACCCCACCATATCCGGGAGACAATCCATCCCAACCGTTTCCCCTGGTTCTCCAGGGAGTCTTAAGCCGGCCTTAATATAGAAATTCAATGGGCCTTGAAAATTGTTCGCCCTACCGGCACCAAGTCCACCCGGTGAGCTCTATATTACGGCCCTATTACACGTTATGTTCCAAAGAACCGGCTTGGATGGACATGAGAAAGCACATTTATTCCATCATCAGGGACGATGGTCTACCCTGTCCCCCCCTTCCCCGGCAGTGGTTTGGGGGGGGGGCTTACGGTCATTATTTCGAACTTGTATCGTACCATATGACCTCAGAGTACAGTGACTATTCTTTCCTTCTCTACGCGCGAGAACAGGTACTGACAGAAGAGTCCTGGTGCAAAGTGGAGTTCAAAAGATGAAGGTATGATACGATGCCCTTTCATTCTTCCTCTCTTCAATCCATATGAGGAAACCAGGCACTAGGTCCTAGACCGATCCACAAATGCTAACCTAGGGCCACACGGGGCAGTGTATCATACTATGAGGACTGGATGACAGAATATCTACTATCTCACTGCCGGCTACTCCCCAGTAGCTATGGATGCCGTATGCACTATTCATCCTCCTTCCCTAGGGCTTGAAGCCGGACCTCATGAGGAAACTCGAATTCTAGGTTCCCGGCGGAGGGGAGAGGAGGTATTTGTTCTCTCCCTTCCCAGCACACGACGGACCCAACGGGAGAACGGAATAGGACTTTTAAGTTTTGCCTCTGCTATTATTATTTTTTTTGGAAAGCCGGATCTCGGTGGGAAGTCTCCGGACCTTCTTCACCTATCCTCTTGTCTTGAACGTGCGTAAAGGCGTCCACATGAGAAATAATCACGTAGAAGCCAACTGACTAACGCATTCGAGTGCGAATTGATGATCCGAGATGTACATAAAGCAGGGCAATTCCTGTTGCGAGAAACCTGCCACTTCAGCAGACATCCCAATCCATTCTTTCGAGATTCTGGGATAAGAAAGAAAGAAAGAAAGAAAGGTTACCAACACTGCATTTTCACGTCTTTTCTTGCTGAGAACTTTTTTTTTTTCCCTGAGGGAAAAAAAGGAGTTCAGCAAATGAAGCCAGCTCAGCTTGCTCTGAGCGTTGCGGGCCTTTGCAGTACTGGTGGGCTATCTCGAGAACTCTATCTGTTTGCCAGAAACAAACTGATACCGATACTTCTTTTTTTTATTAATATTTTTATTAGCATATTCTTTGCCGCAGATCCCATACTACGCTTCCAGATTCCCGCAGCACCCCCAGAACTTGGGCTATGCGGGCAATTATCCGAAGTACTGGCAAGGGGAGTCCTACGCTCCCGTGAACAACAACCAAGACCCCACGCGCTATGACGGCCACCTAGTGCTTGAGCCAGAACAGCCACGCCCAGACTTCACGGGGATCAAACACCCAGCGAAGGAAGCGATAGATTACTACAGCGGGCAGAATTTCCCCACCAAGGCGGCCGCGGAGACCACCGACCACGACAGCGCACCCACGTCCGAGCCGGAGAACGCTTCTTCGAATAACATAAAGATCACCAATGATACGCCGTCCGGGGCAGGCGATAAAAGCAAGAGTTACACCCGCGTTACGAAGTCTTCATCCCCTAGCGGCCCCGCCCCTGCCCCTACTCTTCCTAAGGGGAAGATGCTTGACGAGGATGAAGCTGAACCCAGCAATTCTAGAGAGGACGCCTCCGACGACCTCTGGAAATCTTTCTCTTTCGGCGTCGTCAGCGACACTTTGAATTACCACAACCCCTACGAGGGTCGCGAGGGCGATTACAGCCGCAAGACCAACGCAATATCCAAGTTAGAGAGGATGATGGGTAAGGAGTACTCGGCGGAAGAGATTGCTGAAGCCTCCAGTACATCTACACCCCCCAACCCCCGAATCCGCCGACGCCAGCTCCTTAACAAGCCAACCACGCGCCGCAAACCCACGACTCACCAACATTTTGCCCCCGCCAAGGAGGGGAAGGGGAAGGAGAGCGAGAGGGAGAGAGAGCGGGGTGAGAGGGGTGAGAGGGGTGAGAGGGAGAGGGAGAGGGAGAGGGAGAGGGAGAGGGAGAGGGAGAGGGAGAGGGAGAGGGAGAGGATAGGGAGAAGGAGAAGGAGAGGGAGAAGGAGAAGGAGAAGGAGAGGGAGAAGGAGAAGGATAGGGAGAAGGATAAGGAAGAGGAAGAGGAAGACAAGAAGCTAAAGAAACCCGGCCTAGTGAGTAGTAAGCAGCACTCAGACGCCTACGAGCGCCCAAAGCACTCTGAGCCCGAGTACGACATCGACCACATCCGCATCTTCGGTTACGACATCCGAGGCTATGACGTGCTCACGCTTAAGCTCATAGACGACTGCGAGAAGGAGGCTCGCGAGGCGGGCAGGTTCCACCCCCACATGTGCGACCCGCACATAGCAGACCTGTACATGGACCCCAACGGTAAACGGAGACCCTCCGCCGCCCACCAGCCACGGCTCTCGAAGCGGGGCTGGCCGGAGCACATCAAGGAGAAGGCGGCGAAGATGATGCACAACGCGAAGCAGATGCAGGAAAAGGGCCAGCGCGTAATTGACAATAATCCCGCTTACCAGAAATCCCTTCGGGAGAAGGAGTTGGCCACAGTAGCTGAAGTTGAAGCTGCAGGGAAGGAAGAGAATCCCTCCGACTTGCCCCCGCCGACCGGGAAGAACAAGGGTGCCACTACTAGGTCCAATCTCAAGGCTCACTTGAGCGGCATGTTGGATGATATAACGAACCCCCCGCTGAAGAGCACCCAACCGAACTCCAACACTACGAAGGTTCCAAAACAACCGGTGCAGCCAGCACAGAAGCAGCCGAGTGGTATTACTACAGCACCTGACAAGAATATTAACGGCGTCCCGAAGAAAAAGAATCGCGCAATGGCCAACCTCCTGAAGCAAGGCATATTCAAAGACAAGTTCAAGAAGAAGAAGAAGAAGAAGCCTCTGGGGAAGCGTGATATCACATATCCTGCTGGGCACGTATCCATCCTCTGACTCACTAGCCCACTAACTCACAAATTATCACTCGTTGAACAGATTGCTAACTGAAGTTTCCAATCAACGTGACTATACAGCCCAGAGTACCCCCCGGGGACCATGATCACCCGCAAGAAGAAGTGTGACGACGCGGGTAAGTGCGTGACGGTAGTACAACCGGTGGCCGAGGCGAAGACTTTCATCGAGCAGATAAACGATGGACAGCCCCAAATCCACCACGGCATCACACCCCAGCCCATCGCGCCAGCCCACATACCCGCCCCCGCCGCCCCGCAAGTCCACCCACCAGCCATCACCGAAGGGCCAGGACATCCCCACCTCACGGTCTCCTACGTCCCCGTGATCAAGCCAGGGCCAGTGCTCCATCCAGGGGAGACCGGGAAGGTAGTCGAAATCGCGACCGATCCAACAAAGTCCGCACCAAGCCTAGAGAACATCCTAGCGAAAGAGGAGGAGGTGGCCAAGAAGAAGAAGAGGCCATGCGGGTGCGAGTGCCGCTGGTGCTCCTGCGAACTAGACAACCCTCCCCCCTCAACCGCCGCTACATGCCCCTGCGGGAATCCCGAATGCGGAAAGGGCGATATCGGACCCGAGGGGTGCACTTGCGGCGCCCCGGGGTGTAATTGCAATGGGGACGCCTCGGGGTGTAATTGCAATGGGGGCGCAGGGAGCTCCAGGAGCTTTTCCAGCTCCTATTCCAACGGGGTCAAGGACGTCTCCCGCAAGAATGGTCCCGGCCGTAACACTTCCGGGACCAGCAGTGGAAGCCTTACTAATGGGCCCAGACATCCGCATGGGAACGTGGCCCCGTCGACGGCCGCTGAGTTGGAGGCGTTCTGGAGGAAGCAGGTCCCCGATGCGTTTCAAGGATGATTGATTGATTGATTGAGGGCCTCTTGGGCCGGTGGCGGTGGTCATTGTAGAGTCTTTTTTGGGAAATCACGCTCGAACTGTCCACCTGAGCATTTCTACACTCCTTTTACGTTTTATTTTTATTTTTATTTTTTTATTCATAGAAGCTACGGCTTTTCAAAAAAAGTCACTCTTTTTTTTCCAATTTTAATTTTTTTTTCCACTTCACAAACTACTGATGAGACTCGTTCTGCGAGCCGGTCTTTGCTCCATTCTTTATACACCCAAGAAATAAAAAGTAAAATGAATAAAATAACAAAAAAACTTGCCTTTTTTTCCATTCGCGCTTCTAACACTGTTTCTTACGATGGTAGTGAACGAATAATTTTCTGAAAAGCAAAGTTCATCAGGTTTGCCAAAGCGGGTGGTGATCTACTAAATTACTGCGACTACGAATACTGCTGCTATTGCGACTAGATGCATAAAATTGCAGGTATCATACGATGGCAAATGTTACCACCCATCACTAATCCCCGCCTCCTTCTCCTTTGCGACCCTCGCATCATTGCACTCCCACCACCACTTGTGCGTGAAGTCCTCACTCTCGCGATTATCCCATGGCTTCGGGCTGAGTATGTAATGCACGTTCTTGACCTCATCGTCGTTCCAGATCTCCTTGTGACATGAACGCATGGTCTTGAGCGCATTGTAAACGTAACTGAGGGGGACCCAGCGGCCGCGGAAGGTATCGGAGAGGAGGCTCTGGTCAGCAAAGTCGTAGTTCCCGGTGGCGACAGGGGAGTTGAGGGCCTTGACGATCTGGTCGTAAAGTTTTTGTGAGGGCTGGACTACTTGGAGACCACCGTTGCAGATGCCCAGGCCGAAGGTGCTAGATGCACCAGTCTTGAGGGCTTCTTTGGGCGTGGAGCTTTGGGAAGTATAAGCGCAATTCGAGGAGGTCCTAGTTTATCTTTTGGTTAATGAGCACTTAGAGAAGGAGGATTTCCCCCCCCCTTTAATAGTGAGGGAAGGAGAGGAAAGTTGCAGTACCAATCCTTGGGGTAATGAGCCTTCTGCAAAGGATTACACACGCACGCGTGCGACGCAGCAAATGCCCTATCTCCCTCAATATCCAGCGCCAAGTCCATCAACTCGTCCATATTCTTGCGGACAATCATGTCGCTATCCAATTGAACCACACGTTCATACTCCACCAAGGAGAATGGCTGCATTTTGCCTATATTCCCGCCCACCCCGCTCCTTCATCAACTTCCTCCCAATTCCTCATCTCTCTCTCTCTCTCTCTCTTCCGCAGGGAACTTGGAAGGGACTTACTCCAGCAGTCGTAAAACCTAACGTCATTCCCATAGTCTTTGTGCACACTGGGCAGTAAATATTCTATCCGCTTCGTGGGAATATTCCGCAGCTTGAGCGCTTCGTGGCCTTCTGGCTCAAGAGAGTCTGTGTACAGGACTACCAGAGGGTACCTTGACCCGACGGATTTTAGGGAAAAATCAAGCGCCAGTAGACCTGAAAGATACTTGGTATTGGTAAGGAGGGTTGTCCAGACTTGTGATCGTCAGCCCCGTACTTTCAATCGCCTCACCCGAGTTATCCAGGGGAAAGTTGAAGATGATGTGCATACCCTTGGGAGTATCGACGGTAGTCATTATTTCTAAGACTGTGGTATAACAGAATAGAGTCTTGTAGGGAGGTAGAGTAGGAATCGGGATGGTGGGTTAGAGATTGAGTACGGTAGGGTAGAGGACGAAGGGCTGAAAGATGGGCTTTTGTACAGTACGCGGATTGTGCACAAAAGATGAGGGGCGGGGTTCTCATAGCGGGGCAGAAAAAAGCTTGTCCGGCAGACCCCCAGATCACTATGCGATACATTATGGTGCACCTACCGTACTACCGGCACATACTGTACGAGTGTTGCATGCTCCAAGTTAGAGTGAGCTCCTACGGTAGTCTACCCAGGAAGTGCATCCCTTTCTCTCTCCCTTTTTTTTAGAGGGGGATCAGCACATTAGCATGGCATGATAACCTCCGCCTGCCGATGCGCCATCCATCGGAAACTGCCCTTAGCTATAATATCATATTATACTTTAGACGGCAGAGGTCTAACCTCGGCCAGAAAAAAAATCCGCCGGGTTACCGCACTCGTACAGTAGAGACTACTCGACTGCAAGGGGTCGAAGGAGGGTGTTTAGGTAGACTAAGGAATACGCGTGAGTACTGGAGGTTGAGGAGCGAGTTGTGTTTATGTGTTTAACGCCGTAATAATTATAATAAGGTTGAAAACCATTGAACGGACAGTTATCCAACGCGATGGCTCTACCAGATCAAGCATATCGCCAACACGCCCCCATTCTCCCAAACCACCGCAAGCACATCCAACCCAGCCCCCAACTCGCAAAACAAGGTACGTATACGGTATTCATATTCAGCAATAAACGCCACTACAGTACATCCCTCCAATCCCCGCTCTCCCTCTCAATTGCCAGCAAGCAATCCCCTTCCCTACCCAAGAGTCGGCGGCTTCCCGGCATGCAGCACACTCCAAACCCTCACCAAACTCTCATACCCAACCGTATCCCCAGCCCTAAGAACCGCCGCTGCGTCCACATTAAGCGGAGAATCCCATTCAGGGCTGGCAAGTAACTGCTGCACCGACGTTAATGTCAACGAGATTGAGCACACCGCGGACCAATTATTTTTGAGCAAATCTAAACAAATCTCCCCCGTCTACCCCAAACACTATCAGTAACAGCGCCCCGCAGGCAGAGGGTGGGGCGGGGGGGACCTTGAGGTGAACATTTGGGTGACAAATGCTCGTCAAAAACTTCATTTCAGGGGCTTTGTGTGGGTAATTTTCGGGAATCTTGATATCGATCTTCCAGCGGCCACCCTCGTATGCGGTCCCCTCTACACCTTTTAGCACCGCGGTCCAGTGGAAGAGGTCGTCTTCCGAGACGGGGCCTAGGGATTCCAGCGCAGGATTGGGCTCTTTTCGGTAGTTTACCAGCTCGTTCATGATGCGGGTTGTAGGGCTTGAGGAGGAGGAGGAGGAGGAGGAGGAGGACGCCATGACTGTGGTAGAAGGTTGCGGGAGTGAAACTCTTGATGGGATTGCAGTTGTGGGTTGTGGTTATGCTCCGCTGTTATGGCGAGTGTCCAGAGGTGAGAGTATTTGTTTGGGACGGGAGCTGGCTGGGGAGCATGGGTGAGTTGGCCAAGCTTTTGTCTGTTGGTGGGAGCCGCAAATAGGAACATCAGAAATTCACGTGCATTTTACTGGCTATCAATTATCCAGAGCTTCATTGTAGAAGTTCAAGTCCATTCGCATTGAATACTGCAACCGCAATCGAATAATTCAAAAAGAAAGAAAGGGGAGATTGCTATTTTCTTGTAGACAATTATGTACCCGAAAAGAAGCATCCGCGGTCTCGATCACCCCGCTGAGAGTAAAATAAAAAGAGAATCACCCATAGGACCCATCCGGATCGAAATCCAGCAACCCCCCGATTGTTCCCCTTCTCTCCCCTTTTAAGTCCTCAGGCCGAGCAAGATTTTCGGCCCGCCCTCACCACCAGGCAAGTACGTAACATGGGGATTATTAGCCAAAGTCTGCGCAACTTCCTTCGCGGCCTCAATCCTACGAATAAAGATCAACCCATCACCAGCCTTGTCCACAGCTCTAGAGATGGTCTCAGCACTCTCGGCCTCTCCCTCGGCACGGATGACATTCGCCTGACGCTCCTGCTCGGCCTTCTCGACGATGAACCTGGCCCTCTCGGCGTCCTGCTGTGCGATCTGTTTCTGCTCGACGGCGCGGGTGAATTCGCGACCGAAGGTCATGTGCGTGATAGAGACATCCTCGAGCGCGATGTTGAATTCCTGCGCTCGCTTGAGGAGGTCGGCACGGATGCGGTTGGAGACTTGCTCGCGCTGGGTGATGAGCTCGGCTGCGTCAAATTGGGCCACGATTGACTTTAGGACTTCGTTGCCAATGGAAGGGAGGACTCGCTCATCGTAGTCTTGACCGAGGGACTACAATAATCCAATCTTGTTAGAGTTTGATGCCGAGAGGGGGGGAGGGAGGCAGAGCAAACCTGGTAAATCTTAGGCAAAGCCTGCACTTCAGGTCTATGCAAAACCCTCAAGGTCAAAGATACCATCTGCAGATCTTTACTCCCGGTAGTAGTGGAGATATTCCTAGGCTTTGTACGAACATCATAGATAATCGCCTTCTGCAACCAAGGTACCAGGAAGTGAGTCCCTTCATTAACGACCTATTCCCCCATATCAGCAACCTTCATCTCCGTCTCATCTCCAACATCCTTCATAAACCAGCAAACAAACCTTCTCCTTAACCCCCGTCAACCTATCAAAAATCACCGCTCTGGTTCCACCCCTGACGTCATATACGCTCAATTGAAAAAGCGAAACCCCGACAGCAGCCGGAATCGCCAGGCGGGAGATGAGATTGAGAGCTCCAGACATGTTTTCCAATCAGCGTTGGTTATGAAAAAATGGGAGGGGGAAGAGAGGAAGGAAGAGTAGCGTGTAAAATGCTAGGCCAAATTTTGTCTTTTTCCCCAACTTGGGGGCCCAAACAAACGGTGGGGTGGGTGGTGGGTTGCCGGCTTAGTCATGACGGCAATCAGAAGAGGGAGACAAAGGGAAACTCCGGGCAGGGAAACCCCATTTCTGCTCCTCGACTCCAATCGTTCCACCCAGCCCCACTCAACTCGACTCCACACCAGCGACATCGGTCTCAATATCTACACCACCACCACCACCACCACCACCACCACCACCACCACCACCACCACACACTACAAAACTCTCCACCTCTATCCAATCAGCCCATCCAAATAGCAAAGCAATGGGCGGTGGCGGCGAAAAAGTCCCCGGACAGCACGTTTCCTCCGCCCCTTCCTCCATGCCCAAAGCACCAAACTAACAATGGTTTCAAAAACAGATACATGGGCTGGTGGGGCAGCTTCGGTTCCCCACCACAAAAGGGAATATCTGACTACACGCTCTCGGCGAATCGTCAGCGTCCGCTGGCTGGTAGCATGCACGCGGCCGTTTTCAATTCCTGGCGAAGGTTCAAGGGCCAAGTGTTGTACGTTGTGCCGCCATTCATCGTTGCGTACATGGTTATGGATTGGGCTGTCAAGGAGTACATGCCCTCACTTTTCTTGATAGAGTTGGATGGTGGGCTGATTGCGATGGTTTTAGGAATCACTTTTTGAACAGTAAGGAGGGACGCAAGCTTCATGGTGCTGGGGAAGAATAGAGGGGAGGGTCTGGGGGGGTTGATAGATTGACGGATGGATAAGTGGGTGGATTTGCCCGGGAGGGCTCTTGTGGGTGTTTGTGATTGTGTCGGATATCCCTAAGAGAGCCCAGCTTGCATAGAGAATTGAAAAATCAACATCTCTGCTTTTCGTATTAATTGGTTCGATATTGACTTCACATGGCCCCCGTGGCGCATTGCCAAATCGCTGTGGGAATCCATAGGTTCACCTCCCATTATCAACATAGATGGGGGAATTGTGCGGGCGAACCAATAACCGATGGGTAGCTAATGATACACTAAAAACGAATAACAACAATAATAATACTAACAGCACAAACCCATGTGAAACGGAAGCCACCAAACTAGCTTATGGTTAACTTACAGAAAGAAATACTGCTGTGGCCTAACCCAGTAGGAAAATTTGACGTATCCGAAATGAACCCCCAGACCTACCCACCACCACTGCCAATCAACTTTGAGTGTGATACCTATATTAATTTGATAGTTTGCCATAGCATCATAATAATGATATTCTCATAATATTGTACTCGTACATACATACCCATCCTCAAATACTAGTCCCTCCCCTCTCTCTACCAGGCAAATCCCCAAAAGCAAAGAACTTTTGCAGTATGATACAATACCATAACCATGGATCTCCCGACCCTTCACCCCCGCCAATGAGCTCCTCAGCCACCCCCACCATCACTCTACAGATCCGATGAAACAAACTCCACTCCAGAAGCGCCGAAACGACTCTCTGCTTTCACCCCAGCAAGACAAAGACGCCCACCATGTTAACCTCCGATCGATAGGTAGCACGTAAAACGTCGTTGTGGATATCCGCTAATTCCTCCTCCTCCTCCTCCTCCTCCTTGGGCGTTTCTTCGCCGTGTTGTATAATTTCATCCTGCGCTCCGCCATGATACCTTCTATGACTGCCGGGGTTGAGAGCTTTGTGGGTGTCGACGATAGATGTCTAGACTAGTCCTCGATCGAGCCGGTTTGGTGATAGGTAAAGTACCTCCGCAAAAGTGTTGGTGAAATGGGCTTTTTACACCAAAAACATTGATTTTTCACCACTGGTAGTTCAGGAACCACAAAAGATTTTACAACCTAACTTCTAGTATGTAGTTACAATAATCCCACCCCACCCCTACCCAATTCTTAATAACTTTGGAGAAGAATTGGAGAAGTTATGCAGTCCTAAAATTCTGACTTCACTGAAAAGCTTCATTTTACATACAAAAATGGCATAGTAATGGGTATTGTCAACTTTGGAGACTAGTAGCTTAGCCCCATAGAATAAATTGACAAAATAAATGGTGTCAGGTAAAAGCTGTAGTGAAGGTGAAAATAATTATATAGGTTGTGAGGATTATTTAAAGCAATTCTAGGTGTAGGGGTTGATCAAACCTGTCAATTTTTGGTGTAAAAAGGTCATTTCACCAACACTTTTGGGGAGGTACTTTATGGATGAGCGGTGGAATGAAAAGTACGATTTTTTTTCTTACCCTGTCTGGGAGCCCTCTGTATCGTTGACTCCTAAAGGTATGTACCGGTACCGTACGGAAGAGGGGGCGCCGTAGATTTCACCGGCCCACGGTATCCCGAATCGGAGTACCGATATATAATATCATAAGAGATGGCACGCTAATCTGTTCGGACGGGACTCCGATGTATTTACGCAAAGTATCACGAATGGAAGGAGAATCACACTTCCATCTTCAGGTTCGCGTTCCCGCGCCATCCCCTATAATAGATAAGTTACGCCGGAGATCTGCTATGGATCTGTCCATTTTAGCACCGAACGTCACTTCCATCGGCAGAATACAGTATAAGCATACGGTACTGTACCTAAATTATGCCCCCCCCCCCCCCCCCCCTCCCCCACTGCGTACCCAGAATCGGGCAACTACAAAGGGTCCCCAAAACCTAGCAGGCGCGGCACCAAAATAGAATCACGACAGCATGGCATTGTGCTATTCATGCTGCCGGATTGAAGTTGGCATTTTTTTTTATTTTTTTTTGCTCTGTTTGGTGGGTGACCAGCAAAAAAAATATTAAAAAAAATACGGTAGGTGCGACTTCATTTTGAGTACAGTACGAGTACAGTGAGTAAGCAACCAAGCAATCTCGTATTAAATCCTGACCCCGAATACGATAGCTATTTTTTCATTACCTTTATTGGAATGATATCAGGACTAACTTAGCATCCTACTACCAACTAATTTCTGGCCCTGAATACTCACACACACGATGAGAATACCGGTACAAGCAATTTAGAGTTGAGTCTCTTTCCAGAACGCCCGATATATGATATGATAGTAGCCGTCTCAGCTGTCAAGAGTGATGTGGACAGCGTGGGGCCGAGCCCAGCCCACGGGTAGACTCCTTCCTTAAAGGACAGAACAGCGGTATGATATGATACCAGAGTATCCGTCGAGCCATATACGCTCGTAATTTAGTACATGGCATAAGTCATCTGCTGCGAGGGGTTCCAGAAACTCGTAATTTCCAACCGTCAGATTTTCTAGATGCTCTGCAGACTTCTATCATAGACCTAGAAGACAGCTCACCGTGCCAACCAAGCCAAGCCAAGCCAAGCTGTCGCACCCGCCACCACAGTGAAGCAAGGTGAAGTGAAAGTAAAGAAATCCACATTCTGCACTGTAAAGTACTGTACAGTGCTCGAGTATAATGACTGATACACACTTTCGGAGCAGGCGATAATCACCACGAGAGCAAACCATTCGGTCGGTCGTTAACCACCGCTCCGAGATGTACATATATCGCTATTTCTTCCAGCTAAACCATATAAGAAATGCAAAAGATTAAAATAAAAAATAAAAAAAATAAACTTCACGATCCGGAAACTGTCCAGGACTCACTTACCTTCGGAGGCCCTTCTTTTAGTCACTGTCGAGATGCTCATAGGGCTGATAATTTGGAAAATATACAAAAAGGCTTCTTCAAATGCTCGAGACTTCCCTGCGATTTGCAAGAAATAGTAGTCTCGCTCGGATACTGCTTGGAATTCTATATATTCCAGACCATAGTAGCGCTGTCACCTACCGGTATTGTAGATGAAAGGTGGAAAAGACAGCTTACCCTTTAGTTACCGGTTACCGGCACCCGAAAAGAATCATCTCAATGTAGACACAGAGAATCACTCGACATATTGTCACAGATATTGTCCGAGATGTTGCTCCAGGATGACCGAAGTATTTTCGGTGTGGAATGCAAGGGCACATGTCATTATATAGGGATTACTTGTCTGTGGGTAAAATTACTGCGGTGTGGGATGCAGGTATTGATAACAATACAAGAAAAACTTTGATCTCTTGACCGCAGAACTACTTCTCAGCACAACCCATTCCCAACTATCAGTTCTTACCTTCTCTCTACTTCCTCAACTCGCGCGCTGCTCTTCCAACAAACATGTTCCCCTCCCTCAACCCAGCCTTTATAGCGCAGGGCGGACCGCGTTATGAGATCACTCGGTGCCCCCTCTGGCGAGATGTTTCGTTTCACCCATTGGAATCCTTGCATTTGGTAACACCTTTGGAGCCCTCTGCTAGACCCAGCCGGCTATCACTCGCTCCCCCATACACCACCAACTTGAATTCAGCCAAAACTTCCCTTCCCTTGTTCCGTATCCAACGGAACGGTACCTCACCATCCAAGTGAGCAGGTAAGGGATATTCGCACAGCTCCCACTCCACATATATATGCCCTGAATGATCAGCCAATCAATAGGGCAAGAAGCCGGGGAACGGTATTTCCCAAGAAGGGACCGGAAGTCTGTGCTAGACCCCCTTGGGGTTAGAAGGATTCTCAGAGCCAATTATCTCCCCTTGGAATCTAAATGAAGCCATCAGCATCTCAAAAAAATATATATATTAATAGAAGTAAAAACATCTCAAGTATTTGTATTGAGCTCTTCTCATAAAGTCCTGATGTCCTTGGTGATCAGAAGCCTAGTTTACAAGACATTCATATCCCCAAGCTAGTCGCCGCAGCACCCATAGGAGGCAGATGTGCCACAAAGTCTAGAGAATCCCGCCTCACTTAAACTAAACCTTCCGAGACCCAATCGCCCCGACATCCGGTGACAAGGAATTTCGAAAATAAGGACATTTGCACGGGCTCTGTTTAATTAACGATCCCATTATGCTCGCCTGGGCGGGAACTCTCCTGTTATGATACTGGCACATAAGTAGCCCAAAGTTAATTATTGCCCTCTACAAGTAATGGATTGGGTGTTCGGGCAAATAAACATAAGCGCGATACAGTACCTTAGTTACATTCTGGTCATGGTACGATATAGTTGTAGACCTTAGTGGAGCAAAGCTGCCCGGTGCGATCCCATCCCTGTCCCGGCTCCAAGGGGAAGAAACCATGCCTTTCGTACTTGTAGCCCCATAGTCGGCTCCTAAGTTACGAGTACTCGAGTACGAGTACATACGGTACTGAGCCTGTAGAAGAAAAGGTGTGGGGGCACCTGCCTCCCGTCAGGAACACCATTGCCCAGCCCACCTCGAACCCATGTCCAAGCGCGGGCACAGCAATTGCAGAATGCAACGTCGGTTCGATCAATTGCAAGCGAGCTCTCCCAACTACCGAGACACTGACTTGTCACAGTTCAGCGTAAATGCAATCAAGATCCTCGAGTAACTAAGGATGTTTCAACATACTCTTGTATATCGGGATCCAGTACTTACAACGCTACAGCATTACACGATGCTTTCCTCGAGTAATGTGCTGCTGCTCTCGGTATAATGATAGTGCACCACCGAACCTCAAAGATTTACCTTGTTTGCAGCTTGCTCCTGAGCTTCCCACAAGATTATCGATTTCTTCAACGAAATTCTTCACCGAGTACCGTACAAGCAAGAAGGGTCCAAGAACAGAGGCAGTGAGTTTGCATGGGGGTTCAGATACGCACTGATCTCTTGAGACTGATTTTGTGAACCCCTGTTCTCGGTCACTCCCTACCCGCTACTCGTACGAGTACCCTGGCGCACTCGTAAAAGTAGACATTGTAAGTACCGTACCGTAACGGGCCACCTATACTCGAGTACAAGTGAACGACAGTACCGGTACTCGAGCGTAGCATGCGGTAATTCCTGTCTTGTAGACAAGCAGAGCTGGAGACGAAATAGGGTGCGGGTTCAAGGCGTGCTTCGCCCAACGAATACGGGATCTCCTCGCTTGCTCAAACGCAATGACCGCCAAGGATCCAACCCATTGCGGTAACCAAGCATTAAACTGGCAATCCGAATATCCACAAGATGAGAGTATTACTCGTAT